AGTCTCTGGTCCCTGCCCCACCCCTCAGGTCCCCAGGTCTCGCGCTGTGTCTCTGGACGACTCGGAGCCGGACAAAGTCTCCGTGGAGTGTTGGTCTGGAGACGTCCTCCTACTGCGCTGTGTCCAGGGAACATGGACCTGGGCCGGACCAGGTCTGTGTCAGATGCCCTCCCACACTCCCTGTCCCCGTGTGTCAGATGCCCTCCCAGATGGACCTTGTCACTGATACAAATCTCACTGTTTCTCTCCAGACCCAAGTCCAGACCCAAGTCCAGATCCATCAGAGCACTGGGACCTAGCTCTGAACCAGTCTGGGGCAGAGTACCCGCTGGGGGCAGAGTACCCGCTGGGGGGCTGCCCTCCCTGTGGTCCTGGTCTCCGGTTCAGGGAGGGTCAGTGCGAGGACATTGACGAGTGCTCGCTAAGCCCCGCCCCCTGTGTGCACGGCTGCGTGAACGCTCACGGCTTCTTCACGTGCACACCTGCGCCGCACTCGCACATGCACGCACTCATCGCTGTTGCCGCGGTAACACTGGCCGTGGTCGTCGCGGTAACCGTTTGGTGCTGCATCCGGAGGAAGAGGAGGGACCAGAAACTGGACCAGGACCTGAATCAGACCGAAGCCTGAATCCAGATCGAACCAGGACCTGAACCCGGACCTAAACCGGACCTAAACCAGACTACAGGAGGGTCTGAGGGTGGGACATGTTTCTGAATGTAATAAATTTTTTGTAGTGATTTAAAGCAAACGGTCGAGTCCGAGGGCCCGGACCGCGGACCGTCAAGTCCACGGGTCTGGAGCTGAGCGTCTGTGGTCCAGACTCAGTCAAATGAAGCTCAGCGAGGTCGCAGTTACAGCGGCGAATCTGAGGCCAGGGCCAAGTTTTAAACAGGAACTGATTTAGGAACAAAATGTTGAAATAAATCGAGCGGGTTCAGAGGTCAGACTGAGGCCACGCTTTTTATACACAAAGTGAACTGGAACCAGAGTCAGTGGAGCCCAATCATGCCCATGAACACTTCCCGTTTGGTTCTAATAAAATAACTTTTTTTAATTTCTAAACACGTTTGTACTGAATAAAAGTGAAGCACAAAGAGAAAACGTTTGACCTGGAGTTTTATTCCAAACTGATCAGAAAAGTCACGAGTCGCTCCTGAGGCAGATTCAAATGGAAAAATACAAAAAAACCAAAGATTTTAAAATAAAAACATTCAGTTCTTCTCTTCCTCCCTCACTTCCCTCTCTTCTTGCTCTTCGCCCGCAGACTCGGCTCCACTTCTCCGTCGCTCTTTCCTTTCACGCTGTAGAGTCTGTGTGCGCGCTCTGATAACGTTCCTCCGCACTTTAAGCCTCGTCTCATAAGTTCCTCCTTCAGAACGTTCAGACCCAGAGCCTCCAGGTCCTCGGGACCAGAGATCGAGTCCAAGTCCAAAACCGGGACCGGGAGCTGTGGACACAAAGACACGGGTCAGAACCAGTAAGATGCCCTCCCCTCCTCAAGTGGGGGTTCTAGTCTGGGGGTGATGGTTTACCTGATCTGGAGTCTGGTCCTGGTTCTGCTCTGGACTAGATCTGGACTCTGCAGATTTCATCTGGACCAGACAAGGACCGGACTGGCCAGGGCCTCCCTCGGGTCTACAGTTGGACTCTGCAGGTGGACTCGGTCTGGACTCAGGTTGAGGGTCAGCGGGTCCTGTGGTCTTGGTTCGGTCTTCAGATGGAACAGGTTTGACCTCAGAGCCGCTTGACCCGGACTGTTCTGGACCTCGAACCTCGGACTGTGACACTTCGATGCTGGAGGACCAGGAGGAGGGTGGAGCACAGGGCGGTGCCGGGGCAGAGGGCAGAACAGGGAGCGGTGCCGGGGCAGAGGGCAGAACAGGGAGCGGGGCAGAGGGTGAAACAGGGAGCGGGGCAGAGGGTGAAACAGGGAGCGGGGCAGAGGGCAGAACAGGGAGCGGGGCAGAGGGTGAAACAGAGAGCGGGGCAGAGGGTGAAACAGGGAGCGGGGCAGAGGGTGAAACAGGGAGCGGGGCAGAGGGTGAAACAGGGAGCGGGGCAGAGGGTGAAACAGGGAGCGGGGCAGAGGGTGAAACAGGGAGCGGGGCAGAGGGCAGGGTCTCTTGTTCCAGGTCAGACTCTTGGTCCGTGTCGTCGTCAGAGCTCAGGTCCAGGCCGGTCCTGGACACAAATGAAAGTCACATGTGATTATGGGTCAAGTCCAACTTACGGCTGTATGTCAAATTGTCCGCGTCTCCTTGAACCCCCTCCCCAGAGCGTCTCCTTGAACCCCCTCCCCAGAGCGTCTCCTTGAACCCCCTCCCCAGAGCGTCCGTCTCCTTGGCCCTGTCCTCCAGCTGCGGTGTAAAAGGTTTAGAGATTTATTAAATGTTAACACATTCATTCATGTGAACACAGCGACTGCGCCTTGAATTACTTTGTGTACGAATTGTGCTATACAAATAAACTTGCCTTGCCTTGCCTTGTTTCCTTTAATGAAAGAACTAAGCTCAGATTTTCATTTACTCCTTTCACTGACTGCAGTACATTTTCTTTACCACCAGATGGCGCCTTTACACCAACACAGAGTCCACACGTATTTAAATATTTAACACCATGAGGCCTCATCGACCTTCACCAGTCACAAAGAAACAACACAGAGCAGAAGCGGCGCAGAATCAGGGCTGTGATTGGTCTCCTCTACATCTGCTCTACATACATTTCTGTTTTTTTCATACTTCATTTTCAACACCATTTTTAAATCCTCGCGTCCTAGTGTTGTGGCGGTGAATTACTTGGCAGCGCATCGGCCTTCACGCAGATCCAGAAATCAAAAACGACAGCGGCAAACGAGTGACGAGTCGAAGCAGAACTCCAAAACTCACCAGGTGAAGGGGGCGTCGCTGCGGCTCTTCTTGTTCACTGGTCCCTCTGTCTCCTCACTGGAGCGTTTAGAGCCGCCGAGCCCGGAGCCGCCGAGCCCGGAGCCGCCGAGCCCGGAGCCGCCGAGCCCGGAGCCGCCGAGCCCGGAGCCGCAGGACACCTGAAGACCTGAGGGACAAACAGGTTTCACACACACGTTTTAGACACACGTATGTGGCGTTTGTGTTTTACCTTTAATCACAGAGTCCTCCAGTCTCTCCGCTAGCTCGTGGCACTGCTGTGTGTACTGGGCGTCTGTAAAATGATGCTTTGGTTCGGCAAGTTTCTTCTGAAGTCGCTCCAGTCGTCTCTGCTCCTTCTCCGCCTCTCGCTCCGCCTGCTTCTTCAGCCACTCGGCCATTCTGAAACACACCACATACAGACGCATCTGTAGGTCATATTACACACTCCCTCGTGTTTTTGGGGTACTCCCTCGTGTTTTTGGGGTACTCTCCCTCGTGTTGTGGAGGTACTCCCTCGTGTTTTTGGGGTACTCCCTCGTGTTTTTGGGGGTACTCCCTCGTGTTTTTGGGGGTACTCCCTCGTGTGTTGGGGGTACTCCCTCGTGTTTTGGGGGTACTCCTCGTGTTTTTGGGGTACTCCCTCGTGTTTTTGGGGTACTCCCTCGTGTTTTTGGGGTACTCCCTCGTGTTTTTGGGGTACTCACTCTTTCTCGTGGTTGACGTCGCGGAGTCTTCTCCCGCTCAGGTCGCGACACGCCTCTCGGTTTGTCGTCTTTTCGATCTGAGCTCCGAGTGCACGAAGCATCGACCCAAAACCTGCCCACACAAGTACACAACACATGAACACACAACACACATGAACACACAAGTAGACACACAGACACACACACACACACAGACACACAGAGACACACACAGACACAAACACAGACACACACACACACACACACACGCAGACACACACAGACACACACAGAGACACACACACACACAGACACACACACAGAGACACACACAGACACACACATAGACACACATAGACACACACAGACACACACAGACACACACACAGCTCTTCGTCCTCACCTCCTTTTCCTCCGCGCAGTCGAGTTTCCAGGTGATACACTGATCCATTTTGCAGAAGCTCGTCTCTGTCCACCACACGACCGTTACACACAACGTACAGGTCGCACAGACCCTGGACGCACAACACAACACAACACAACATGTGAGAATACACAACCACAACACGTGTTGTGCGTCCAGGGTTTGTGCGACCTGTACGTTGTGTATTCTCACAACACAACACAACACATGAGAATATGAGTTCATTCTGATCACCTACACAAAAACTGTCTACAGTTTGTGCGTCGTCTGTGTGTGGTTTGTGCGTAGTCTGCGCGTAGTTTGTGCGTCGTCTGCACGTGGTTTGTGCGTCCTTTGTCATTTGCTTTGATTCATATTTTATATACTCGTTTTGTTCAAGTCGCTGCGTCACCTGAGCGAAAATGACCTCATGGAATTTCTGCAAAACACACAAACCAAACTTTTTGCAGCACAAACGACGCACAAACGACTGACACATTTTGTCAGTTTCAATTTCAGAACATCTGAAGCTTCCTGGAGACTCCAGTTTGACCTTAAAAGAAATAAAATCTCCAAAACTAAAGCAGCACAAACGATAAACATGGTTTGAGTATCATTGTGTGTTTGTGTGTAGTTGTGTGTTTGAGTGTCGTTGTGTAGTTGTGTGTGTTTGTGTGTCGTTGTGTGTGTGTGTGTAATTGTGTGTTTTGTTTACATCCACCACTTTAAACTATTTTGTGGCTGGTGGCTCCCGGATTCAGATTAAAGGGTTAGATTCAGATTAAAGGGTTAGATTCAGATTAAAGGGGAGAAATTAAACGGGCTCCGGGTTTTTTCTGGATGTTTCTGTTGTTTGTAGCATTAGCAGTAGCATTAGCAGTAGCATTAGCATTAGCTTCGGTCAGACACTTCCGCTTAAACGGCCTTAAACCTCTCGTAGCCGGGTCAGAGCGGTCCGCCCCGGGTCACACTCTCACCGTGTTCCGCTGGAAGTGTTCCAGGAGCTGTCCCGCCGCAGAGAGGCCGAGCACAGGCCGCGGTCTGAGGCCCAGAGCCGGAGCGGTCACCCACACCTCCGCCATCTTGTGTCTGTCCAGCGTGAGGCCTGCGTCAGAGCGTCAGTGCGTCACTGCGTCAGTTTATTTTTATTTTTATTTTTAAAATTAATGTAATATCCTTGTTAATGAAGGATGAGCGGACCACAGGTTGTAGATGACTTTGGTTTTTACTGAACGTTACTCAATCACAGTTCAACAGTAACCGGGAACAACAACTGACATATTTTTCCCAACCTTCAGCCTATGCCGCCACCTAGTGGTCAACACGGGGTATAACATGTATCTACTACATTCCTCCCCTCTTAAGTTATTACTCTCATCTTAACTACTCAAACAAAAATTAACTAATTATTCTGTAGCTTTCCAAAACTAGCCACCTTCACATTTAACTGTGTCATCTTCTCAAACATTATAATAACCCTGACACAACCTTTTCTTTTTTTTTTTTTTTTTTTTTTTTTTTAAAAGAATCAACATTCATAGTCTTTCAGATAACTAGGTTTTGAGACAGTCCGTTGAGAACGCCGTGCTGGTGCAGCTGTTTGCTGGGGTGGTGCGTCCTTCGCTGCATCTGGGGCCGGAATATCTGTCACAGGTGGTTTTGGGTTTTCTTGCACAGTTCCTTCTGGAGCACAGCTATTTCTCACTGGCACAGGATCAGCTGAAGACAAATCCACCATGGGTGGTTCTATGATCTTAGGGTCTACTAGGTCCGCGTCTTCCGGTCTGGCCAGTATCTGGTCAACATGCCTTCGGACAACTGTTCCATCTCCCAACATGACCTTGTAAGACACCGGTCCCGTGACTTTGGTAATAAAACCCCGAACCCATTTAGGCCCATAACTGAAGTTCCGTGTAGACACTGCATCTCCCACTTGGAAACCTCTTCCTGATCCGAGCTTGTCGTGATGCTTCTTCTGCATGCACTGCTTCCGTTCCACCTTGTTTCTGAGGTCCGGATGCCCTAGATCCAGTGTCGATCTCAACCTCCTGCCCTGCAACATTTCCACTGGTGACAGCCCTGTGGTGGACTGAGGGGTAATGCGGTAACTAAACAGCACTCTTGAAACTTTAGTATGGATGCTACCTTCACCTGCTTTTTTCATCATGGACTTAAATGTCTGGACTGCACGCTCGGCACAGCCATTTGAAGAAGGATGATAAGGAATTGAAGTGATGTGTTCGATTCCGTTCTTCCTCATGAATTCTTGGAATTCGGCACTCACAAAGCACGTACCATTATCTGACACAATCATCTCAGGTAATCCTTGACTGCTGAAACTTCTCCGCAGAAATTCAATCGTATTGGCAGAAGTTGCTGAGGTTACCGCGTAGGCGTCCATCCATTTGGAATAGGCATCCATCAGTATCAAAAACATGTGACCCATAAAAGGACCCGCATAGTCTATGTGTAGCCTCTGCCACGGTTTACTCGGCCACTCCCAAGGGTGGAGTGGTGCTGGAGCTGGTAAGTGGCGATGTTCTTGGCAGGTGCTACATCTTTTCACTACAGATTCAATGTCTGCATCTAACTTTGGCCACCAGAAGTAGCTTCATGCTAATGCTTTCATTCGGGTGATGCCTGGGTGACCATGATGCAGTTGACCCCGTAATGCTTCGCGACCTGTCGGGGGTACCACCACGCGTGACCCCCACAATATACATCCATCTTGCACACTTAATTCGGTTTTCCTCACCGCATAAGGCTGGAAAGCTGAGTCTGAGTGTTGTGGTGGCCAGCCATGTTGAATGAACTGACAGACTCTGGACAGCACTGGGTCTTTTCGTGTCCACTGGCTAATTTCACTGGCTGACACGAGCGTTACCTCATCCAGGATCAGTACGCGGTCCTCCTGCTCTCTCCTGACGGCTGTCTGAGGCAGGGGGAGCCGGCTCAGAGCGTCCGCATTGCTGTGGTGTTTACCCGGCTTATAGACAATCTCATACTCATATGCTCGCAAAGTCACTGCCCAGCGCTGAATGCGAGGGGATGCCATTTGAGGCACTGCTTTCATCTCACTGAAGAGGGACAGTAAAGGCTTGTGGTCTGTACAGATGATGAACCTCCTTCCATATAAATATTTATGGAAGCGCTGAATGCCAAACATCACCGCCAGTCCTTCTTTGTCCAGCTGCGAGTAGTTTGCTTCAGCTGCCGTGAGTGTCCGTGACATGAAGCCAATAGGCCGCTCTTGCCCGTCTGGCATGCGATGCGACAACACCGCCCCTACTCCGTAAGGCGACGCATCGCAGGACAGGATTAAGTCTTTATGGCTGTCATAATGCACTAACACCTCTGACGACTGCATGAGCCTCTTAGACTCCTCAAAAGCTCTCTCTTACTCCTCCTGCCAGTTCCACGGCGTTTCTTTCCTTAACAGTCTGTGCAAGGGAGCTAACCGTGTTGAGAGATTTGGCAAGAATCTGTTGTAATAGTTGAGCAGGCCTAAGTAAGCTCTCAGTTCTGTGACATTAGTTGGTGCTGGTGCCTGTTGTATAGCCCTGACCTTGTTTGGCAGAGGGTGGAGCCCCGAGGCATCCACTTTGTGTCCCAAGAACTCGGCCTCTCGCTCCATGAAGACACATTTGTTGCGCTTCAGACGAAGACCAGCCTCTCGTAGCCGCTGTAGGACTTCGTTCAAGGTCTCCAGGTGCTCGTGGTCACTCCGACTGGTCAGCAGGATGTCATCTAAATAAACTGCAACATTAGGGATTCCCGCCACCAGACCCTCCATTATCCGTTGAAAAATGGCAGGACTAGAGGAAACACCAAATGGTAGGCGATTCACTTGAAAAAGCCCTTTGTGTGTGTTGATTGTGACATAAGGCTTTGATGCCTCATCGAGGGTGACTTGTTGATATGCATGACTAAGGTCCAGTTTAGTAAACTTCTCACCCCCGGTCAACTTCTCAAATAAGTCCTCCAACTTGGGTATTGGATACTGCTCTAGCTTGGAAACTTGGTTTACTGTGAGCTTGTAGTCCCCGCAAACACGCACCGAACTATCAGTCTTTAACACCGGCACTATTGGTGCAGCCCACTCTGAGAACCTCACTGGCTCAATTATGCCCTCCTTTGTGAGCCTTTCCAGCTCTAACTCTACTTTCTTCCTCATGGCAAAAGCCACGGGCCTAGGCTTGTAGAACTTTGGAGCCATGTCCGCTTTTACGTATATTTTTTGCGGGCGGGCCTCTCCAGGTTCCCAGTTCTTCTTTGAATACCTCTTCATTCTGCTTTAGCACATTCTGTAACGTTAGCTGAGGCTGTTCCATCTTATTGACAAACACACAGTTCATTTCCAACTCTCTTAGCCATGCTCGGCCTAGCAGGTTTGGCCCCCTCCCTGCTACCACTACTACTGGCAACTGCTTGACTTTGTCTTTGTAGGTTACTGTTACCATTGCCGTTCCTAGTGTAGAGACTTTTTCACCTGTGTATGTTTTCAGAGTCAATGAGCAGTTTTGTAACTCCTGTGCGTTTCCCGCTGCCCATAACTTGCTGTATTCATCTTTTGTCAAAATCGACACACTACAGCCTGTATCCACTTCAAACTGTACCATGTTCCCATTCAGATCTAGCTGTGTGGTAATGGGGTCTACCTTTGCCATTTTTGAGTCTTTTAGGTTGTGCATTGAAAACACTTCTTCGTCACTGGACTGGGGATCCGTGGACTCGCTCATATGATGCGCGTACTGCCTTTTTTCTTTCCAGCTAGCCTTTTCACCCTTGACATACTTCTTCCCTTCCCCCTTAGCCTGTTGCTGGTCCCTAGGAGGAGAGGACCTGCACATCTTTTTCACGTGCCCCTTTTTCCCACACCCATGGCACTTTTCATTTAGAAACCGGCAGTCCCATGCCAAGTGTTCCCCCCCGCACCTATAACAGGCCAATGGAACACTCTTGCTTTGATCTTTAGGTCGTACATTCACCTTATGCACTGACAGCGGCGGTGCAGCCTTGCTCACAGTACTGTCCAGCGCCTTTGATTGCAAGTCACGTATATCCTTGTTCGCTGTCTCGATGGCCTGCGCGACTTTCAGGGCTTTATCAAACGTCAGCTCCGGCTCCGCTAACAGTCTCCTTTGAATGCGATCATCCGCAATGCCGCACACAAGCCTATCGCGCAGCATCTCCTTCAGCTTATCACCGTAATTGCAATGTTGCGCCAGCTCTCTCAGCACAGCCACATACTCCAACACAGTCTCATTTGCCGCTCTAGTCCTTGAATTAAACTTAAATCTCTGGACTATTTCACTGGGCTTTGGATTGTAATGTGACTGAAGCAAACCAGTCAATTCCGCGAATGACTTGGCACCCGGCTTCTCTGGACTTAGCAAGTTCCTCATTAAACTATACGTCTTGCTGCCGACGGAGCTCAACAAAATCGCTCGCTGTCTTCCTGCGTCAGTAATCCCATTTGCCTCAAAGAAGTGCTCCAAAACTTCACAATATTCCTCCCAGGTCTGTATCTGACTGTCAAACACCGTCAGCGCTCCCACCATGGAAGTAGCCATCCCGCCGCTAGCGCCAGCTTCCTCGCCGTCCGACATTAGCCGAGAAACTGTTTCATGAAACACTCAAGCTGTTTCCTGCACCAACAGCGTCTCCCGAGTTCACCAGTTTCCTCGTCGCCAAATGTAATATCCTTGTTAATGAAGGATGAGCGGACCACAGGTTGTAGATGACTTTGGTTTTTACTGAACGTTACTCAATCACAGTTCAACAGTAACCGGGAACAACAACTGACATATTTTTCCCAACCTTCAGCCTATGCCGCCACCTAGTGGTCAACACGGGGTATAACATGTATCTACTACAATTAACATATTTGATTATGATACATTTATACAATAATAAATAAAAACACAAAGAACAGACACGTTTTTAACATGTGCGTGTCTGTTTATGTGCGTCACTGCAGAGCGCCACCTGCAGGCCGCGAACCACTGTCACATGAAAAACAGACAGAAAATTTATGGAAAGGCCGATACCTCCAAAATAAAAGAAAATATCATAAATGGTTACTATCCAACAACAATGATGCTTAAAAAAAAAAAAAAGGTTTGGTTTTGCAACGGAGCTGTGTTTGTTCACCTCGAGGAGGAAACTATCAAACATATTTTTCTCCTGTGGCAGCACAAAACATTTTTGGAAAAATCTAATGACTTGGTTGAAATTAAGACGGTCATAACTGTTCAATTAAATACTTTATGGTATAAACAAATTTCCAAACGAACTATTGAGCCTTAATAATATAATTATAATTGTGGGTTAATACGTAAATGTAAAAACCAAAACACAAATCCATTTCTTTTGTTGTTTAAATCTGAACTACAGTCATATATCCAACAAGGACAGACAATGACTATCTCCAAAAACTCCTATTTGAATCTTAAAAATGTGCAATAAAAATGTGCAATAATAATGTGCAATAATAATGTGCAATAATAATGTGTGCACTGATTGTAATGGCTCATACGGCTCACTGTAAGTTTTGCTGTTTTATTTTAACTTATTGTAAATGTTTAAAAAATTTACAAAAAAAAAGTAAAAGTAAAAAAAATAAAAAGAAAAAGAAAGATTAAATTTTTATTGAAAATGTAAAAGATTTAAAAAGTGCCCCGAGGAACAGATAAACACTGAAGCAGACACGCGGCAGGGCATCCGAGCATCCTCCGAGCTCCCATCAGCCCTCGGTGCCGCGGTGCATGCTGGGACAGATCGGTGATGGCGGCGCAGTGCGGGGCATGGTGCGGGGCCTGGTGCGGGGTCAGCCGGTTTCTCTGGAGCTCGGTTCGGCCGCGGCTCTGCTCCTCTCTGCGGCCGGGCTCTCGCTGCTTCGCCTCGGACTCGGCTCCGGAGAAGCCTCGGTCCGGGTTCGCCGCGGCGCTGGAGCTCCAGGAGGAACTGCGGGAGGCGGCGGCGAACCAAGCCGAGCAGCAGCGCTCTCGGGGCGGACACACGGAGAGCTTCGCCTCGCTGCTGCGGAGATCTCCCCTGGTTCAGATGGGACCCGCTAAAGACAAGGTCAGAGTCTGTTAGAGCCGGTATCATTAACAAGTGTTCGATACGATACGATACATACCTCTATACAGTGAGCTTTCAACAATTGTTTTGTTGATGATTTTTTTTAAACAAATTATTTCTATAGAATTTCTTAAAATATGACAGAACGTCTGTCGTCGTGTAAAACGGCCATTGTGACAAAAATGCTGTTAGACTTTTTCACTGCTCACAGAAAATGTGGTTTTAGAGTCGAGGTTCTTGCAGCTGCAGACAGGATTTAAAATATTGTATTGAGTTTGTAGCTTAGACCGTAAATATGACACTTAAATATGATTCTCTTGTTTTAAACAGTCTGTGGTTCACAGGATCTTCTCCAAACTGCTCTAATCTACAGCTCAGTGTCAGGCGCACATGTCTGGGTGAATTTTAAGGGATTTCCTCTCTGCAGGTGGTCGTGGGCAGGGTGGTCCAGGTTTTGGACCAGGACTTGTACGTGGACTTTGGAGGGAAGTTTCACGCCGTGGTCCGGACTCCAGACGGATCGGCTCTACCCAGAGGGACCCGAGTCCGGATCCAGCTCCAGGATTTGGAACTGACCGCTCGCTTCCTGGGACATAGTACCGACACGACGCTCCTGGAGGCGCACGCCACGCTGCTCGGGCCCGACGGAGGGACTAAACCTGGACTAAAACAGGACTAAACCCTCCTGGAGGCGCACGCCACACTGTTTGGGCACAACAGAGGGACTAAACCTGGACTAGACCAGGACCAGACCAGGACTGTGTATAAATGTACAGATCATGTTTGAGTGAAATAAAAGTGGGTTTTGTTGAGACTCAGTTTGTGTTTTTAAACACCTCTCAGCCAATCAGCTGTCAGGAAAAGATGAGAGAGAAACACAAATTCTGGAGTTGGAGTGTTTTTATTTGGAGTTGTTTCAGAGAGTTACACGGTTCTAGAAACATTTCAGATAAAAATTCTTTTTAATATTTTTTTAGTTTAAAGTTTAATAATGAATAAACAGGAAGTGATGTCATCAGATCATGGAGAAGTTCAGCCACTGGGGAAAAAACAAAACAAAAATACATCATTAGTCCTGGGTTAGTCCTAGTTTAGTCCTGGTTTAGTCCTGGTCCAGACCTGGTGCATGTCCAGTTGGATGGAGCCGCTGTTGTTTGTATCGAGTCTCTGGAAAATTCCTGTGAAAAAAAAAAGTGTCTTTTACAAACAAAAGTTTATTTAACTAACTGTATTTACAACTCAGTCTGAGTTTATGTAACTATTTACACAGAAGTCTTTTTGCACTTATGTAAAACTTTTTATACTTATATAAGTATTTAAATGTGTATACGTCTGGTTACACTTGTATAAATCTGTATAAAAACTCCACCGCCGTGTGTTTATGCACTTATATATATATATATATATATATATATATATATATATATATATTATATTATAGATAGATGGATATATAGATATAGATATTGTCCTCACTGAACATCATCTCCAGTCTCATCAAACAGGACGTGAAGTTGTCAAAGTCCAGGGTCATGTCCGACTCGGCGTATCGCGCCACGAGGAGCTGGTACAGAGCATTATTCAGTGTGAAGCCTATAGAACGTACAACACATACAATTATATATAAATACACATATTAAATTATATATAAATACACACATACAATTATATATAAATATAAGTAAATAAATATTTACAGTTGTGGACAAAATTGTAGGTTCCCTCTGGTAATGAAAGAAAAATCAACAATCACTGAAAAACTTGAAATTGAGAAAAGCAATAATAAATAAAAAAATTTACTCAAAATTGTCCAACAAAAATCAAACATTGTTTTTCACGTGTGGTTCAACAGAATTATTTTAAAAAACAAAATAATGAAACTGGCCTGGACAAAAATTATGGTTCCCTTAAAGGTTGTATGGAGGATTTTTTTTTTGTTTGTTTTGTTTCAAGTTGTCAATGATAGCATTATAGAGGTGCAGTAGCCTTGTAATTATGATGACCAAAAAAAAGAGAATAAAAATGCATCAACTCTGGACGTGGTGGGGCTAAACATTTGCCAATAGATAACGACACTGCCTCGTTATCTGTTAGCTGACAGGCTGTCAATCAATCTCCCTACGTTTCTAGCGTAACTGACTTGCCTGCGCCGCCGGTACGTGGTTTAGTTACGCCTGTCACACAGTCCACAGACGCAAGACGCACAGATGCTGTTTACTCCACCAACGCAACAGTTCTTAGCAGCTTTTTTTGACCTATATCTTCCTCGCAGTTAGCACAAAATTTGTTGCAATGGCGACAAGAATCCAGGAGCAGTTCGCCGCAAAAGAAAGTCCGTTTTGAGGTCGCTGAAAGAAGAAGACAAGGGGAAAAGCAGCGAAGCCAAACTAAGGTGATTCTTGTAGATTCATTCCAGCGATGGCGCGACTGAAGCAGACGCAGGATCTAAAGACTGACGCATTGGTCGTCAAATTACTCCTGGACAGGTCACTTCTGCTTATTATGAAAACGTACTTTATTTTCAAGAGCTAGACAAATGTTTTTCAGGACACGAAAGCGATATCCTATGTCTGAAAACGTAATTTTCAAGGCAAAGAAAGAGTTCGCTTGCTGCTGCGTGTTGTAGCTAGTTCATTCGCACTGAATCTCCGCGCACTCTTCTCTGCACCCCTTTCCTGCTCCTGTCCCCGCTGCCCGATCCACTCTTCCCCCTGCTCCTCACTTCTCCGGGCACGGAATCTCCGCGCACCCCCTCCCCTCTCCTCTCTCCTCTCCTCTCTCCCTGCTCCGCTCTTCTCCCTGCTCCTCACTTCTCGTCCGCGAACGAAATGTCCGCACACCCGCTCCCCCCGCTCCTCACTTCTCCGCCTTGCCTAACCAACACTGTAGTTAGTTGTTTACAAGTCATGTGCAGCGCACCGGCTGTAAACAAACCTGTTTCTGGCGTAAGGAGGAGGCGGGAGGAGGCGTTTCTACGTAGGAGCTGTAGGGGAGGGGAGGTGGTTTCACGCATGCGCAACATTTGAAAAAGGACAAACAGTCGCTGGATTTCTCGTTCCTTGGAAAATCCTCTATACAACCTTTAACTTAATATTTTGTTGCACAAACTTTTTGAGTCAAACTCGTTCTTGTGTGTTTTTTCGTGTGTTTTGGGTCATTTTCCTGTTGAAGACTCATGACCTACGACTGAGATCAAACTTTCTGAGGCGACACATTTTGTTCCAAAACACTTTGATAGTTTTGAGATTCTGTTGTATTTTTCACAGATTCAAGACGCCCTGAGCCTGACGCAGCAGAACAGCCCCAGAACCAAACCAAACCTCCTCCGTGCTTCACAGCAGAGACAGTGTTCTTTTCTTGGTCTGCTTCACGTTTGCGTCTGTGAACATAGAGCTGATGTGTCTTGCCAAGAGCTTCAGTTTTGTCTGATCTGTCCAAAGAACATTCTCCCAGAAGTTTTGTGGTTGGTCCATCTGCATCGTGACAAACTCCAGTGTCACTTTCTGATGATGTTCTCTCAGCAGTGGTGTCCTCACATGAAGTCACTTTGGCTCAAACACTGATGGACGGTGTGATCTGACCTGATGTTCCTCGTCCTTCAACTTCACGTTTCATTTGTTTGGAGGTTGTTCTGGGTCTTTGGTTCCGTTCGTATGATTCGTCTCTTCAGTTTGTCGTCAGTTTTCCTCTTGCGGTCGCGTCCAGGGAGGTTGTCTTCAGTCCTGTGGAGCTTAAACTTCTGAAGAACATGTGGAAGTGTAATCACAGGAACATCACGCTGCTTGGAGATGGTCTTATTGTCTTTATCTTGAACCTGCTCGTCTCTCATGTTCTTTCTGGTCTCTGTGTGACACAGTTCTCTTCTTCTCTTTCTCTGGTCCATGTTCAGTGTTGTGTCCATCATGTCTCCAAACACAATGACACATGTGGCCCTTTAAACAGACACACTGACTGAGACTGATGAGTCTGAAGAACCTGTGATGAAGATCAGAGACACACTGAACTTTAACATGTCCATGTTGTCCAACTGTTTACAAGCTTTTCTAGAGGAACATCATGTTTATCCACGGCACTTTCATTAGTTTGTTTTTTTAAATTATTCTATTGAACAACAATTAAAAAACAGGGTCTGATTTTCATTGGTTATTTGTCAGGATTTTTTTTTTTTTTTTGCTTTTCTTGGTTTCCAGTTATTTCAGTGAAAATTGTTGATTTTTCTTTCCTACAACAACATTGTACAACGATTTTGTCCAGGATTGTCCATGCTGCAGCAAGAACATTTCCACTGTGTGTCTCAGTCTGTGTGTCTCAGTCTGTGTGTCTCAGTCTGTGTGTCTCAGTCTGTGTGTCGAGGTCTGTGTGTCGAGGTCTGTGTGTGTCTCAGTCTGTGTGTCTCAGTCTGTGTGTCTCAGTCTATGTGTCTCAGTCTGTGTGTCTCAGTCTGTGTGTGTCTCAGTCTGTGTGTCTCAGTCTGTGTGTCTCAGTCTGTGTGTCGAGGTCTGTGTGTGTCGAGGTCTGTGTGTGTCTCAGTCTGTGTGTCTCAGTCTGTGTGTGTCGAGGTCTGTGTGTCTCAGTCTGTGTGTCTCAGTCTATGTGTCTCAGTCTGTGTGTCTCAGTCTGTGTGTGTCGAGGTCTGTGTGTGTCTCAGTCTGTGTGTCTCAGTCTGTGTGTCTCAGTCTGTGTGTGTCGAGGTCTGTGTGTGTCGAGGTCTGTGTGTGTCGAGGTCTGTGTGTGTCGAGGTCTGTCTGTGTCAGTTTCACAGGGGGACAGGTTAGGGAGGATCAGCAGATCTGTGGAAGAGCCCAAAGTGCCCCTCCTCAGGACAAAAGTGTCCCTCCTCTGTGTCCTGCAGTGTCACAGCGGCCTGCAGGGGGCGCCAGGTGACCAGCAGGAAAAGTCTCACTTTCTTCACTCACACATTGTGTGTAAAAAAAACTGGAGCCTCAAAAAGGTCCAGAGATAAACTTTAAAACTGTCTCCATGGATACGAGAAAAACAAACACACACAAACAAACACACATACACAAACACACACACATACACAAACACACACAAACACACACAAACACACACACACACACACACACAACAAACACACACACATACACAAACACACAAACACACACACACACACACAAACACACACACACATGTGACAGATACAATAGAAATATTCAAATATGAATCATAAAGAAACCACCAGAACCAGAACCAGCACGTACCTCTGTCCAACCGCAGCCCAGAAACAAAGAGACACTGTTAGACCACAACCAGGACTAAACCAGGACTAAACCAGAACTAAACCAGGACTAAACCAGGACTAACCTGCATCCTTGAAGGCCACCCTCATTTCTGGGGTGCTCATGGTTCCAGAATTGTCGAGGTCATTTTTTTTGTAGATTTCCTGAAAACGTCAAATGTTCTATTATTATTATTATTATTATTATTATTATTATTATTATTATTATTATTATTATTATTATTATCACCAAGTATCTCTGGATCTTCTTCCACAGAGTCGCAAACTCCCCCAGACCCAGTTTCCCATTTCCACTATCCTGAGAGCAGCTGAGGAAAGTACTGAGAGTACTACAAGTACTACATGTACTATAAGTACTGATAATACAAGAATACTACAAAAACATTACTATTACCAGTGAAGTACTGCACCTACAGCACTACTGTATGAACCACACTAAAGTTTCTTGTTCCCACTGTTCTGAGTACTACAAATACTACTACTACAAATACTACTACTACAGATATTACTACTGCAGATACTACTAGTACAAATACTACTACTACAAATACTACTACTGCAGATACTACTACTACAAATACTACTACTGCAAATACTACTGGTGTGATTCCAGCTCCCACAGATGAACACTGTCGTTGTGTCCTTGGGCAAGACACTTAACCCACCTTGCCCACAGTGTCTGTGTACACTGGTGTGTGAGTGTGTGTGTGAATGGGTGAGTGGTTCCTTGTTGTAAAGCGCTTTGAGCCTTGAAGGTGGAAAAGCGCTATAGAAATATGTGACCATTTACTACAGATACTACAAATACTACTACTACTACTACTACTACTACTACTACAGACACAGTTCTGTCTCTGTCAGTGCTGCCCCCTGGTGGATACGTCCATGAGGTTGACCATGACGCGACATGTTTCCAGACTGAATCCGTCCGTCTTGATGTCACTTCCTGTAAAAGAGGACACTTCCTGTTAGAGCTCCGCCCCTTCACACACAGCCCCGCCCCCTCGAGACTCACGTTTGGAGACGATCTTGTTTAGGATTGTCCTGAGCTCCGGAGCAGAGATCTCCATGTCCTGGAACCAGACCAGAATTAGACCAGGTCTAAACCAGGACTAAACTTGGTCTGAAGCAGATTTAGTCCCTGGTCTGGGGACTTACCGGTCCGGCGAGTTTAGTGAAGAGTCCTCTGAATCCTGCGTCCACCTCAGAATCACTGACTGTCTCCTAAAGGACACAAGGAGAGAGGAGACAAGGACACAAGGGCACAAGGAGAGAGGAGACGAGGAGAGAGAACATAAGGAGAGAGGAGGAGGTAGGACAGACTTAGTCCAGGTCCTGTTTCAGGTTCTGGACTTTGATCAAATGTGACTCACGTCTTTAAGATCTGCGCTGACCGGATCATCACAGGGTCTGAGAGAGAACCAGGGTTAGACTAGAACTAAACCAGGACTAATGCAGGACTAAACCAGGATTAAACCAGAACTAAACCAGGTTTGATCCAGGTCCACACTTACACAGTCTGCTGCTGCTTCTCGCTGAACACTCGGATGCAGAAGTCGGCGTTGAGGTGGGGGTCGAAGGTGGAGGGCACGATCAGGTACTCCCCTGGGGGCAGTCTGAAACGGTTGCACACCTCCCTCAGGTTGATGAAGGTCTCGGAGCGAGCAGCCGACGCGTGGGTCAGGAAGAAGTTCTTGTCCAGATGGACCTGGGACTGACCGTGGAACTGAGGACAGGAGCAGGATGAGCCGCACGCAGAGACAAACACCCACCATAAACCCACTAAAACACCCGTCCAATCACAGCACAGCATGCCATCACCTGACCTGTCACCCTGCGGCCACACTGCTCACCTGCGGGGGGAGCTGTAACACAAACACGGGGGGGGGCGGGGTTAGACTCCGGCTCGACTTCTGGCTCAACAAATACGACATGTTTATTTCAGTAAAATGTGTTTTTAAAGTGATTTCTGCAACTGAAACAGGACCGAGCCTAAACCCTAACCCCTAACCCTAACCCTAAACCCTAACCCCTAACACCTAACCCCTAACACCTAACCCTAACCCCAAACCCTAACCCCTAACCCTAAACCCTAACCCCTAACCCTAACCCTAACCCTAAACCCTAAACCCTAACCCTAAACCCTAAACCCTAAACCTAAACCTAAACCTAACCCTAACCCTAACCCTAACCCTAAACCCTAACCCTAAACCCTAACCCTAACCCTAACCCTAACCCTAACCCTAACCCTAAAACCCTAAACCCTAAAACCCTAACCCCTAACCCCTAACCCTAACCTTAACCCTAAACCTAACACCTAAACCTAACCCCTAACCTAAACCCTAACCCTAACCCTAACCCCTACCCCTAACCCCCTAACCCTAACCTAACCTAACCCTAAACCCTAACTAACCCTAACACCTAAACCCTAAACCTAACCCTAACCCCTAACCCTTAACCCTAAACCCTAACACCTAAACCCTAACCCCTAACCCTAAACCCTAACACCTAAACCCTAACCCTTAACCCTAAACCCTAACACCTAAACCCTAACACCTAACCCCTAAACCCTAAACCCTAAACCCTTAACCCTAAACCCTAACACCTAAACCCTAACCCCTAACTCTAAACCAAAACCAGTTTCTTCAGTTGAAAATGCCCTGATCAGCTGTTCTGAACTTCATCACTTTGAATGATCAATCACAGCAGACTGCCCCTGTGACACAAACCCGGTCCATACCCAGTCCAGACCTGGTCCCATACCTCGTAGATGGCGAACCCGATGGTGTGCATGTCTTCTCCCTGGCGCCTCATTTTGCGGCGGTTCTTCTGGATGAGTCCCACCACGAAGCTGCAGCCGTTTTCTCCATCGTCGGGATCATCGTCCTCCTCGTTCAGACGGATCACGTACTGAGGGTTCGTCCAGAACGTGTCTGCAACGAGAAGAACCCAAGAACCGGACTGAGAGTCACCCTCTGTCCCTTTGCTCCTCTGGTTGTGTAGGTGCAGTTGGTTGTGTAGTGTTATGGGTTAGTTTTTGTGGTCAGGTGGGGTGGTCAGGTGGACGGGGTGATATTGTGGGGGCGGGGTGGTCAGGTGGGGTGATACTGTAGGGGCGGTCAGACAGGGTGGTCAGGTGGGGTAATATTGTAGGGGCGGTCAGACAGGGTGGTCAGGTGGGGTAATATTGTAGGGGCGGTCAGACAGGGTGGTCAGGTGGGGTAATATTGTAGGGGCGGTCAGGTGGGGTGGTCAGGCGGGTCCCTGGGGGCGGTGGACTCACAGGGGTGGTTGCGGCAGCCTCCAGCCGTGGAGCCGCGTCTCCAGGTCCCGTCGTATTTGGATATGCTCCAGTGTTTCAACGAGTCGTCCAGGATGGCGTCCGGCGTCAGCGTGCAAACCTCGATACGAGAATAGTGACTGCAGAAGTCTCTGAAGGACATCCTGAAGGACACGAGGAGACGGGGGGTGAGGAAGTGAGGAGACGAGAGTATGAGGAGACGAGGGGTCACGAGGGGTCACGAGGGGTCACGAGGGGTGAGGAGACGAGGGGTGAGGAGACAAGAGGGTGAAGAGACAAGGACAGAGGAGGCAAGAGGAGTGTGTAGGACAGTACCAGAACTCTCCGTCCTCTGCATTGGCGTGAGGGCAGTCTCCCTGGACATAGTTCCACTCAGAGGAC